GTCTGTAGGTCATGAGGGACGCTCTATGCGGCCATTCAGAGGCCGCTTTTTGTCTTTCAAGGTCTCACCGGCTCACCCTCTCCCCACTCCCTAGAGAAAAGAGAATTTTTTTCTCCTTCCGGGCGATTAAAGCGGTTGCCCCAAAAGAAAAAAAGCCAGCTTTCTCTGCAAGCTGGTTTTTCCCCAACGAGTTGCTCGCAACGGGGCGAAAGCCAGCTTGCAGAGCAGTTCTATCTATCGGGAGACGCTGCAATTCCCGTTCAATGTAACCACATTTTTCGCTATGCATTACTATTGCAGCTCCTAGTCTGTTCACAAACAGTTTGATACAAGGGATGGTTTGAATTAACCAGGTGCGATATAATCGGGTCTACTTGTAGCCCTAGAAAAAAACATCACAATCGCATGTTAATTTGTTGTAATATAGGACTGAACAAAAAAAACACTGAAACGAGAAAAAAAAAATTTTTTTTATACCCAATTAGGACAGGCATGTCTCAAAACTAATGTTCGTCGGAAAAAAAAGAAGTTTGCCCAATATTTATGTAAAAAAGCGCGAAACACATGTACGACGAAACCGTCCGATCCGACGTGCGAACTGCCGGAATGGCCTTCGAGGGCAAGAGTTTTTTGTAGCACCGGAGAGCGTTGAAAACCCTCGGCTCCGACTGTCGTATTGCCTGATCGGACGTCGGATCGGACGGTTTCTTTGTACATGTGGTTCGCGCTTAATGCAAATTTTTCGACTTGCAGGCGAGACCGAAATTGTACCCCTATAAGATGATGATCATGATAGCTTTTGTACCCCTCCAGTGAGCCGCATGACAACGCTCAAGTCCTTTTTCCCTGCAGAATCATGCAAAGAGTTCTGCAGTGGAATTGCCAGGGCTGCGCAAGAGGGTGGCGGAGCTCGGGGCTCGACGTACCATCGGAACGCCCAGATATTCTACTCCTGCAGGAAACTAACACGACAGAGATTGCATTACCAGGGTTTGAGGTGTATTCGTGCCCATCCATCACTAACAAAAGGTTTGGGGAGGGTCCCAGAGGCAGAGCAATGATCTATGTGAGCACAGACTCACCACGCTGCCAAATCGACGCCACGCAGTTTTGCACCGACGACCAAGAGGTTTTTGCCATTAAGATTTCCTGGCCACAGAAGTATATAACGATGGCTTCTGTCTACTATAGACCGCTGCCCTCGAAGCAGCAACTCCAACTAGAAAACGGTTGGATCGCTCACCTGCACGATATGTACCCTAGAAACCATAAAGTGTACGGAGGAGATTTCAACCCACATCATCCAATTTGGGGGTACTGCAAGAGGAGCAATGGAGTAGAAGATTTGATTGAGGAGATGACGACATAATAGCTACACCTGGCCAACTCAAAAGGAGCCAAGACGAGAATTGGCACAACAGGACAGAAGGTCACTACACCGGACCTCACGTGGGCTGCCATGGTAACGAGGTAGGCAACACTGGTTTGTCGGCAACAGGTATCACAAACGTTGTTGCCACCCTAAACAGCGGAGCGGCGGAAACATGTAGGCACCCTAGTCCTCCTCACCTGCATCATGGCAGGTGCCACCCGCTCCCCAGCACGCATGGCCGCATGGAGCAAAGGAAGACGCTCCAGCACGTGCAACCAATGCACGAACAACATAAAAGGAGGCATGACTTATCTCTTCTGTGAATGCCCCTACTATCAACAAATTCGGACCAAGTTCAAACCCATATATGCCCAGAACCTGGTTGACTGGGTTCACCCAAAGTCATCAGACAAAGACAATGACCAGCTTAGTCTCCTAAACTTCATGCTAAAAGCGAAGCTGGACGTGTATGTGCAGATTCTCTCCTCCCTCATCCCTTTTAGTGCCACATGCCCAGACGGAGATGTCACGTGCCATATTCCCCTCACCTTCACCTTGTTTTTGTGGCAATAAAAACGCCTTTTGAATCTGAATTCGCTGGCCACTCCCCCTTTTACTACTGGATTCGCTTGGCTAATTGGCCGAATATCGTGATTTTGCGGTGCGACCAACGTGTTGTGGCGTTGAACACACGTGCACACGCCTGCCGTCACCACGATGGCAGCGAGACCGATAAACCCGGAGCTCAAGCATGAACTTTTAGATCGCTGCGAAGAGCTCGGACTTCGACCTTACGTGGACACGCCTCAGAGGACGGCTGGTAATGACGAAGTCGACGCAGCGCCTCTGCCGCCTGACAGTTCACCTTGCCTCGACGACATGGACTGGTAATGAACATCTGATTCCTTTATTGACGGGACAAAAATAGCGTAGCTGCTACCTCGTTGATTAGAAGTGCTCACTAACTGCTTCTGTTGTTGAGCCACCTCGTCAGGAGGTCAAATCAAATTTGGGGGTTTTACGTGCCAAACCTACGACGGGCATCTGGCACGCCCCAGCGGAGGACTGAAGATTATGTTCAACCACCTGGGGATCTTTTGACGTGCAACCGAAAGCTTGGTTACCTGGGGATCTTTTGACGTACGATCTTGTCAGAAGGAAAAAACGGAAAAGTTTGCTTGTAGTGCTGCTATTGACTCGTGCAAAATTCCGAGCAACTTTTTGCACCCCACTATTGCCCGTTTCGATCGTACCGGCATGCGGTCGTGTATCACTACTGCGTGATGCACGTTAAAAACCCCAGGCTAGCGGTTGTACTGCACTGTCTAAATTTTTCATCTACAGCTTAGAATCTACAGTCGCCCGTTGAGACAGACTAACTAGGTTGTATAAACATACACACACCAATTTCTTTTTTGATTTTAGGTGCAGTTGCGGCCACTGCCACGTGATGTTGACGGCCGCCAAATGTATCTGTTGCATGGAGGTGGGGGAGGCCGCCGCCAACACCGGCAGTGTCTGCACCACACAGCACAGCGACTTCTTCGGGGCAATCCGCAATCCCGTCGGCCTCCAAATCGCGTTTCGCATGAGGGCGATCGAGCTCTTGGACAGGGAGCTTGTCGGGAACAGGGAAACCCACAGGTAAGGCCTTCAAACACCAGGTGGTGTCGGGTATTTGAAACACTAACACACTGGTCAGTTTCCATCTAAATCATTTTGCATAACCGAATACCTACATACAGGGCTCTGTTTAAGTTTGGAATGAGGCAAGCGGGCATCAGACTTCGGTGCAGAAACTGGCCTCTAGTTCTAAGGAAGTCATCCGAGGTTGGAATTGGTAGGTGCAGTGAGGATTCCACTTTGTGTGCAATTCATTATTGTAAGAGATGGTACAGTTTATTCTACCATGGGCAGATATGATCTTCGTAAACCCGAGTTCAATCTGGATTCTCCATTCCTTCAACGGAGGCACAGGTGCGTTGCATACCACCAGTTTGCAAGGTGGATTTGGCGCCGCCTTGGGAGGCACAACAGGAAGATCCTGCCTGCCTGTGTAGTAAAGGCCATTAGGAATGCCTATCCATCAGAAGAATACTGTGGCTTTAGATATCCTGCCCTGTAGGCCTTACATGTTCTCAGTCACCCCAGTGCAATATTGCTGTGCGCAGGGCCAAACAAGCAGCGCTCGGTCACGGAACTCCAGAAGATTGGCGTTTATTCTTACTCGGGCGTAACTTTTATCATTTCGTCCTAGTTTCTTGTTCTCGAAAGTGCGTGTTCATTCTCACCCTGAACACCCGGTGCTCGAACCTTCTGGGCCGGATTTTTGCGATGCCGACGGAGATTAGAAAAGGAGCTGCCCGTGACCTTGTCGAGTCGGTCTCGCTCTCGCTTCCTGTTACGCCGCCAAATTGCCGCCTGCTTTTCTGCTGTCTCGACGCTCATTCTTTATTTTGTTTGACACAAGTTCGCTGATTAAACCCTTCTTTTATGTTCATAATTTACCGTCTCTTCGCCTTGCTCCGTGACAATATGCACTTTGGAAGACGACGGGGTTTAGGTTTCCCCAGAGATTTCGCTAAATTGAGTGGTGCAGCAGCTGCCCAGATTTCGGTTCACCTCATCCACCTCCACCAACCCGGGCAAAAAGTACTGGCTTATGGAACTATTCTAAGCTGGATCCAACATGTCCCAGCGTGGAGTAGTTCTCTAAACCAGTGCATTGACTTTTGCATGGGACTAACTGCAATATCAGAAAGTGAGGCACACCTTACGCCAATATGTGCTATTCTTTTAAAGCATTTCTGTGTTCTAACATGCTGAATAAAAAATTGCAAGTTGATGTGTCAAGTAATTTTTATTCTCCAAGTAAACATATTTTGTATGAAATCAAATGGCTTCAGGAAAGCCTCAGAATGGTAGCCTGTATGCCCTTCTGTTTCAGCTTGGTGAAGCCACAAACAAATGCCACCTTCTCCATGGCGTTGCTTGACGTCACCTCGTATGACTGGTCACAATGTGTACGCATTAATTTCTTCCAACAGACAATGTACTGCAGCATCAATGCAAGACCTCCACAAATGCAATCAGATTTAAAGCAGAAAGGAACAGTGGTTGTAAACAAGAGGCAAATCAGTTTTACAATAATTTAGTTTGCCTCAGTTAGTAAATGTTACCTCGCCTTTCTTCCTGGTGACTGCCTTGTGGAAGCTGTAGGTGCAGTACTTTGCGCTGAATCCTGGCAAATCGCAGCGTCCATCCCAGCAAGGGCAATGCTCTTGCCTCGGAGACCTTGCAGAAGCTCAGTGTTCTGCTGCTCATACACTTGGCAGGCAATTATGTGTTATAAATCAATACGCAATGCAATGTTTTATTCTCTACACTTATTACTACTCTGACTTACCCGATTCGCAGCAGGCATCAGATAACCAGTCTGATATTGTTGTAGGTGCGCTCCGAGATGGCTTGAATGTTGACGGACTTGTTGCTGCTCAAGATGGTCGCAGGAGAAGCACCTCCAAAGAGATTGGCTGCACAAATGCAAACATTGCCTGTTGCTTTGCCACTTACCTTTGGTTGGCTCCACCATGTCTTCTGTTGACAATCAGTAGTGTGCCGACAACGTCTGTGGTGTTGCAGCAAGGGGCATGGCACTTGCGGCACACCTTGAAACGCTCCAGGAGGCACCCTTCAAAAACAATAAACTTCCGCTATTTGTGGGGTGGCGCCTTTACGCAGTCACTGTCGTCACTGAAAATATAAATAAAACTGTAACATATTCCGGGGGTTATTTGAAAGTACTACCTTTGGAAGCTCACATTTGTGGAGGGCGCATAGCTGGTGTCACCAGGAGCATTGCTCTCCTCCATGCCGTCCTCCCCCTCGTCTGCATTGTAAGGACATTGTAAGGACGTTTTAGAAGGTCAGGCACTGGTGCGGTTAGCATGACCGTTAGAATAGTAAGGAATTGTGGGCAACGCTCACCCGAGTCACTGCTGTCCTCAGCTGACTCATCCTCCACATTGGTGCTGGTGTTGCTGTCACAGCTACCAGGGTCATCTGAGTTTTCTTGCTGTCAGAATCCCTTGGGCCATCTCGTCTGCCCTCTGGATCATTACTGTTGCCTGCATAAGAAGGCCTATCCAGCACATCGCTGACACTTACCTCACCATCAGGTGGTATGGGAGCAGAACTGTGAGGACGGATGTCCTGGGCCTGCAGTTGGGGGGTTGTCCTTCAAACTGGAGACGGCAATTGAACCTGGAGTGCTGGGGCAGGCTGCAAAGGTGGCATCCTAGCACTGCACTCTTGGTTCACCTGTGCAGCTGCAGATTCTATACACATTGCAAACAAAGGATTAATTTCCACTAAAACTAAACAATGCCGAGGTTCCCACATATACATACTATACTATAAGTTGAGTATTCAGTCACACTTACGCACTGCTGTAGTGCCTTCTTGTGTGCCTATGTCTGCAGGATCTGTCTGTACCAACAGATGCACGAGGAACGAAACAGGTGCAGCTGGAAGCCTGCGACAAACATTGCAAAAAGTACAGTATAGACCACTTACAACGTAACCGCTTATGGTGCAGGACCGGGTATAACGCGGCTTTTTTAAACCACCGGTTCGCCTCCCATAGAACTCCATGTATTTACATACCGCTTAAAATGCAGGCGCGCGAAGGGAAATACCGGTTATAGTGCGGTTTCTGGAAGAGCCCGGCGGCCGTGCCGACTGACCGGCGCAGCGAGCACGCTTCCCTTTGCGGCGCTAGATAATGGCGCGAGCCGCGAGCGGCACTCGCGGGGCATGGAGGTTGCTCGAAAAAACCGGGAGATGCGAAGAGAGAGGCTGCAGTTGCCATAGCGACGGAGGGACGCACGCACGTGTCGTTCTCGTGCGTGCGTCCCTCCGCTGCGATGGTTGGAAACAACCGCAACGACAGACCAATCGCAGGTCGAGGAGAAGTGTTGCATGCCGGCAGTGCGTACACACTATTGGCTCTCTCCTTTCCCCCCCAACCTCTATTACAACGCTTCTCCTCCTCTCCGGTCGCGGGTCGGCTGCGTCTATCCGCAAACATGGCGTTGGTTTTGATCGTCGACGTAGATTGCGTGATGGAGGATCATCGTTCCGCGTAAAAGCGCTACCCTTGACTGTGAATTTTCGTTGTGTGTCGTTATGATAACCCAGCACGCACTAGAAGGGAAGATCCAAGGAAAGATCCACCTACTCGTGCGGCGATGTCGTGGCGGCACTCTCAAGACGGCAGAAACGCCCGTGTCGTCGTGTTTGTTTACTTCGACTAGAGTGGTGCTTTCTGTGTTTTCGAACATCGCCCGGATTTCTTATTTGGAGCATTTCATGCCTGTGCTCAAGTTGAAGGTATTACTGGCGCGTACCGTATGAAGGATGCGAATTTTCACGCGTTTTCATCGCCGGAGAAAAGTGATTAGGGTTAGCAATCCTGAACGCTCGCAACGTCCGCGACGTCCGTCCGCAACCCGCGACGCTGTTAAAAGGCTGCGCCAGGCAAAAGTCGCTCATTTCTTTCAAAATGTGTGACACACTTGAGACAGAACTGTTCTAGTCTGGTGAAATAAAGACTTTCCTCAAACTAAGCTTTATTTTTCACCTAACATAAAGTAAATTCTTTTACAAAGGTAAGTAGTCTCATGGCATGTATTTTGGCCTGAAAAATTGATGTTTTGGTTATAACGCGGTACCGCTTATAGTGCGGATTTTTGCGACTCCCGCGACATACATTATATGCGGTCTACACTGTATTGGGCATGGTCTAAAGATATTTCACAGTTTTGATGGCACTCATGTTCAGCTGAAAGTGTGAGCACCGATATGAAAGGCCTATGTTTGCAATTTGTGTCTAAAGTACAATTTGCACTCAAGGTCAGTAAGAGAGTGGAATGGGAGTGGCAAGGGAACTCACCACACTGGTGTCTGACGCAATGCTTTGTATGGCTGGTCCAACCATGTCGATTGCGTCGAGCTGACCAGATGCAATAATTTGGACGTCCCTTGTCCCTGCCAGTGACTAAGGGTAGAAGAAATAATAGTGCAACATGTGCTTAATGTACATTCCGTCCTGAGAATCGAGACGGCCACGGTACCAAATTTACAGGAGAGGAACCTCCAACGGGGCTGTCATGGCTTGATGCAGCTGCTGGCCTCTTCAGGCCACTCGATCCTGTCAGCATCTGGTTGAAATGCATAGAAGAAATGCGCATTGGTGGTGGGCTACAGATGTAGCTTGTTCAATATACACTCAATAGTACTCGAACTATGCAGGTGTGTCATGCAGGAAAAACTCAAACTCTAGGTGGTGGGGGTTGAATGCAAGATCCTGGGTTCTGCTTAGTTTGCTTTGAGGGGTGGCAGGGATCCCATCGCTGAAATGCAATTTAGAGCAATTTTTGGGAGCACCAAAATATGCATTCTGGAGCCGTTTGGAGCACCAAATGTTAATTTTCTGTGCACTTTGTAGCATGTAAATACACATTTTTAGCGCTTTACACCAACCAAGTTGACTTTACAAGAATTTTGAAGTTGGCACGTATTTTACCAGGCATCTTTTACTATAACGCAAATGTGCTTCATGCCATATTCCAGTTGAAAACCATCAGGGGAAACTTTTTGAGAGGTATTAATGAGTATTAATACTAAAAAAGACAACAAGCTGGTTTATGCAATTTTTGGACCAGATTTATTTTGAATAAAGAGATGTAAAAAGAAGTCCAGGATTTAAAGCCTCTATAGTTTTTCATTTACAGTTTCCAGCTTGGTCGTATTCGCAGACAAACTTGCATTTGCCTCGGCAAGAAGTACCCGACCAGATTCGATCTCGTCCATGTTCTTGTCCCTCAGCCCCATCTTGATGAGATGGGGCTGAGGTCTTCAGTCTCCAGGAGCGCATTTCGAATGCCTCCAAATGTCAAGTGGAGTTCACAAGACACGACGGGACTCGGATATACATGCGACGTTGGACAGAAATAGCGCAGTTTAAAAAAAAAAAACAACGCCGGCTGAATATTTGCATTTTAAACGAAAAGGTTCCCACGTGACTCAACGCTACGCGAGTTCGCCCCGTTACGTAGAGCGAAAGTCTCACTGAAAGCCTAACTGAGGTCAGCCAGTCACACGCTCTTACCTTTCTTCATTGCATTCGATGCACAGCAGTCCCCTTCAAAGCCGGCTGTTCTGAACAGCGGGGTAACGTAAGCGTGGCGTAACTGCACAAAACGGTGAACCTTGGCAGAAATCGAACTCGCTCGAACCACGCCACGGGTATGACCAAGATGCGAAGAACAAACAAGAAATGTCACACCCAGCTTTAGTTTATAGTCGCTACGCGCGACTAGTTCCGGGTTCCGCTAGATGTCTCATTTGTGTAAGGTTGCTGTTAACTCAGGTAGCTGGCGCAAAATGCCGTCCAATCCGCAAACAGAGCTTTTGGAGCACTTTGGCGCAATTTCGCAAAATTTTATCAGCATGGCGCAGGAAATCGCTTTAGGCGCAAAATAGTGCATTTGGTAGAAGAGCAGTAAGTTGGGCGAGTTGGTAAACGTTGAGCATGGTTAAAATCGCGCACAAAGAGACGAGGACAAACGAGGTAGGATCACAGAACACAGACAGGCGCGCACTCACAACTCTAGTATATTAAGTGAAGAAGAGAAAGATGAAGCACTATTTTTTACAGGGGACAACGTCACCAGGGGGAAACAGATCATCCGCAGTCAAATGATCGCAAGAAGGCAACTTCTTTTTCGCTCAAAGCTACCGACGGCTGACTAACGCAGCGATCGGTCAGGCTCAAGATGGTGAACGCCTCGAGCGCCTCGCGCGTTTGTTTTTCCTTAAACCGGCCAATGATTGATGTTTTTTCTAAAGATGGTGTGCACATACAGGTTTTACAGTGCACCGAAAGGTGACTTCCCACATTGGATGTTAAAGAAAGTTTACGCTCTCGTAGCCGGTCATTCAGACACCGTCCCGTCTGTCCAACATAGCATCTTCCACATGAAAGAGGAATGCTATATACAACGCCCGATGAACGGGGAACAAATTCCAGCGGACCTCGAGAGATTAGCGATAATATAAAAACAATCCAAAAGCTATTTTACGATGAGTAAAGCTTTACGCACTCCGGAGCACGACCAACTCCGGAGTGCATTTCGGACGAAATGGCTATACGATGGTTACACTCGGATCTGACTAACCGAGCTGCTTTCCGAATGATGCTCCTTGATTCGGCAAATAATGCAGGAAGGGAGCAGCAGCACGTTGTAAAAGAAATGGGATTGATTTCAGAGCTCACGTTCGAAACGATGAACCAACGGACACAAGTTTCTGAGACACGCCAAACGAACATTGCCGCCATTGCCACCTGGGAGCCTGGGATTTCAAATGGTTATTTCCGGCACGATTTCCGGTTCCGCTTGGCCTGCCATCTGATGAGAGCGAGAAAAGGTCCGAGAAATGTAACGATAAATGTTTCACCAAGAATTTACATGCAAGGAAATGCGAAAATCGTTAATAAAAAGCTATCGTTATTAAGTTTTCCGCGGCGCAGTATCACGCTCTGCTGGTTGATCAAAAAAAGTGGCGGCAAGCGCGGGAAGTTTAGCAGACGACACTTGAGCGTCTCTTGGGAATCCCGCTCTGGGACCGCCACTCGGCTGAGTCCCAACGAAAATGTCTTCCGAAGACCTGCCTCGCTTCAGCCTCATCCGAGAATATTTCTCGGATGAAGAATGGAACACCATGTCATTCTACGTGAAGTCAAGGATGACAAATCTCAAGGAAAACTACGACCTTCTCTTACGAATGGGTGAGCGTTGTTGGCAGCTGAGCCTCTGAAAAAAGCGCCTCTGCGAATTCGGGGAAAGGGATGGCTGCGAAGAATAATTTGTGACATAAAAGTATTTATTAGTATTCGATACGTTACATTAGGATACCAGGCCTGAACACCGGGTCCCCGGTATATTGTAGCCTCAGCACCGAGGTCCGCTGTGAAATGCAGATACTCGGCAGTGACAACGGCAAACCCTAACGGCAAACCCTCGTGAGGTTAACTCTGTGCTTATGCGAAGAGCAAGTCGCTTCTTCGGCAGCAGTTGCGGCGACCTCAGAACGACGCCTAGCTCTGATTGGCTCTGATTAGGAAGATAGTGGGTAGACTTCAAGGCAGCTTGCTTTGAGGTCTATCCACTGTCCTTCAATCGGAGCCAATCAGAGCTCGGCGTTTTTCTGACGTCACCACAACCCCTGCAAAAGAAGCAGACGAACTTGCGATCCCCATTGTTTCTTCACCCGACAACCAAATATTGCAGGCGCTACAAAGTGCCCCCCCCCCCCCCCCCTCTTTCCAATAGACCCCCAAAATTATATACATTTATTATACAAATTTTGTTTCGCTTTTTCTTAACAGAAAAATGAACTACGCCTCGACGAGCGCTCGTTCTCCACACAAATGTAGCGCCAGTGGTCTGAACCAGATGACAAAGTTTCAAAACTCTCCCCGTTAGCTTATTCAAAAGTTAATAGCGATTTTCCGAAATTTACAACGGGAAAATGGCTGCCGGTGGAGCTCTCGAACACATGGAGCTTAATGGCGTCAGTTACTGAAAGCGGGCGCCATTTTCCAATCGAAATTATCAGAAAGTCACTTATGACGTTTGAACGAGATAATGATTACTTCTTAAACTTGGGTATCTGATTAGAACCTCTCGCGCTACATTTGGACGAAAAAAAAAATTTTTTTTTTGCTGGAAAACAAGAAGGGGGTGGGGGTTGCGTCATCTTTCAGGCAGCGTGGCTTTAGGCAGTCGGCCTTTTGTAGCAGGAAAAATATTCATGATTTGGAGCAGCCACTGACGCTTTTGGAGCAGATGCCAACATCTGTTAACACATCACTTGAAAAAAGAAAACGCGACTCCATCGCTAAATGCGTTTATCTTTGATAATGATTGAGGGTTCCTCTTTGATGCTGAAGCATATTACCTACCTTTTTCTAATAAGAATAGGTAGGGAACAAAAGGAATTCGCAGGGCCTTTTTTAGGAATAAGGCCGAGGTCACAGTAAGTTTCATTTACAATGAGTATTAAAAACAGGGCTTCAAAATGAATCATAGCGCTACATTTTATCGGGATAAAGACTCTTCCTTTCTCTTTTACGGGTAGTTTACTATGCATATATACATAATTTGTGCAAAATTCCGGCAAATACCAGCCTATCTGCTATCAGGAATGATGTGTAATATATCATAAACTGAAGAAACAACCATCCAATATTATGAAGACCTTCACTTGTGCATTAACACTGACAGTGCTCTTTGGCGACGTTGGAGCCAGAGTCAAGTCAAAGTTTGCCGCTCTTTCGTTAGACAGGAACTACATTGACTACCGTATCTATTGAAATATACATTGGTATTTCTTAAATTTTATCGGCAAATATTTTTATGATGAGGGATTGACCGAGATTTAAGACCATAAAAAGGTAGTCCTGTAAAAGTAGCGAACATAAGTTCGGAGCCTATTTCACGCAAACCCAGGCGCTCCCCCGTGTCAGCCGCTGCTCCTAGCACTCCGGTGCAAAGCGGTGAAGCTCGCGCTGGCGAGAGGCGCTGAAGGTTGACGCAAGCTGCCCGAGGTGCCGTGGTGCACTGGAACCACGGCACGGAGCCATGTGCCACACATGATAAGTAAAGGGGCGACGCAACGATTTCTGTACCGCTTAGAACGAATACCTCACGTTAATGACCTATGAGACGCGTTCGATTCTCATCCCATGCAACTGAAGTCGCAGAAAAAAAAATTAAAAGAAAAAGGAGCACGTTTGCCTATGCAACTCGCAGCCAGAACAAGCGGCCTACGTGATCTGGAACTGATTATATGCCACTAGTGTTGATCACAGCCACGCACTGGGGTTGGCGAAGCACAGGACACGCACTGAGTTCCAGACGTTGTTGTAATTCGTCTATCGTCGTCATTGCAGCGATTGGACACGGGGCAATACCCGAATGCTTGTCGAATCAGCTGTTGAATATCACGAGCCCAAATTGAGTGCTCCCTCAATGCATGAGTCCAATCTATGAGCCACATTGAAATGCCAACACTGGAGGGTACTGCGACACGTCAGCTGCGTCGTCAAGTTTTCCGAAGGAGATATTGAGAGAAAACGCTCGCATTTGTCCTTGAAAATACACCGTAACAAAGGAGTTTCTTGGTCATTCGTTGCGTGTGAGTATACAGCTGTGACCCACTAGTGCCATTAAGCTCGTGTAAAGTGAAAATTATTACAAGCGAATGTCGCTGCACGGCCCCTTCAAGTGGTCTAGCCAGGGGTGCAGGAACCTGGTTCTGGCTTATCACAGTAGCCGCCATCGCACTTTTTTTTTTCGCGACTTTTAGCTTTTGACATTGCCGACATCGTCTGGAAATTTAGACGCTATCGACGATCAACCGTCCAGCGCATCAACCGGCCAGCACAGTTCACGAGCAACCTTTATACTTCGTTTCGTCTTAAAACGCAAGCCGACGCTACGAACCAAGCGGACACATCAAACAGCATCAAAGCGCGACATCGTGGTATTCGTCTGCACACGTTTTTTCATGGGTAATACCAATAAAGTGCAGTGCGTGGTAAGCAACATAATTAAAACAGGAGACACGGAAACAGGAAGGACACACACACCACCGTCTTGCTATTCACCAGTGAATGTCCCATGACTAGCGCTTTTAGTATGTGCGGTTGTATGTGGTCGAGTTTTCGAACTCTGCTGTGACCTAAGATGAGACGAAATATGCGGTAAGTAGAGACGCTGTAAAATACATATACGGGTGGATTTTTTTCAGAGCGCAGCTCTTAGGCGCCCATTTCCGACTTGAGCGGCGTCGCCGTCGGCGTAACCGCGCGATGAGTCATGGGAAATGTCCCACAATGCACCGCGCGAGACCCTCGGGACGTCACGAGTTGTCACGAGGGTCCCGCGCGGTGCATCATGGGACATTTCCCGTGGTGCAACGCGCGGGGAGAGGGAGGAGGAGGGCAGAGAAGGGATGATGGGAGGAGGAGGGATGAGAAGAAGGAGAGGGGGAGGAGGAGGATGAGATAAGGGGAGTAGCTTGAAGGATGTTAGGAGGAGGACGAACAAGAGGAGGGGAGGAGGAGTAGCAGGGAGGATGAGGAGGAAAGGTATATACCCTTCCTCAGTACCCTTTCCTCCTCTTCCTCAAGAGCTGCGCTCTAATTCGGTGTTAAGCGCGAGACACATGGACGGCACAATCTTCCGACCCGACAGTCCCTACGCCGCTCCGAATTGTCGCACGCAACAGTTTGAAACACGTGCTTTCGACCTTGAATGCGACGCGACGATCCTTTCGGCGCCGCCCAGGAAATCTCTGGTCCCAGATTGACGGTTAGCTCGCAGGAGCGAAATTACGAGCTCGTTCTCGCTAGCGCGTGCATTCTTTGCTGGGGTCATCTTTCTCGAATGGGTCAGCGGGATTCACGCGTCCGGCTTCCCCTCGCCCGTCCTGCTATCGTGTTCGTCCCGCCAAACCCAGTACGTCATCATGACGTTCGCGCTAGCTGCGCTGTCATTAGCGAGTTTTAGTAGACCGTGTTTCCCGCTCCGCTAAACCCCTCCACTACCCGGAACTCTACAGCCAAGGCCATCGGCGCGCAGGCGCAGTGGCGGTTTCTTCGTAGCGGAGGGCTAGCGGAGCGGGAAACACGGTCTACTAAAACTCCCTATTGGCTGGACGCTTGCGACACTCCGTCCGCCGTGCGAAACTATCTGGCATGCTGGACGCACGCCGGATCGCCGATCCGACGTCTGAAGCGACCAAAGTTTTCGGATCAGGCAGTCGTATTGCTGGATCGGACGTCGGATCGGATGGATTTTTATCCCGCATGTGTCTCGCGCTTTACAGGGTGTCGAAAACGTCTTTCATTTTTTTATCCTCATTAAATTTTTAGAAAGAAGCCGTGAAAACTACACTTATGCGGTTTGTTCAGGTGAATAATAAGGCCTGGAGGACATAGTTTAGGGGGCTAATCGTAACAATCATTTGAATCATTAAGTAAAATTTTGTCATAACTTTTAGAGCACACCTCTTAGGCGCCCGTTTCCGGCCTGAGCGGCGTCGGCGTCGCCGTCACCGTCGGCGTAACCGCGCGGTGCATTATGAGTACATTTCCCCGAAGGAACCCGAGGTCCTCCCGAAGGAACCCGAGGTCCTTCGGGAGGACCTTGGGTTCCTTCGGGAGGACCTCGGGTTCCTTCGGGAGGACCTCGGAGGACCTTTGGTGACCTCGGGGAGGGGGTCACGTGACCCCCCCCCTGAGGTCACGTGACCACACCCCGAGGTCCGTGACCACTCCCCCCCGAGAACACGTGACCCTCAGTACCCTCCCCTCCTCCTCCTCAAGAGCTGCGCTCTAATTCGGCGTCACAGGGAGTTGTAAACGGCTTTCATTTTTAATTAGGGAATCTATCCGTATGGTTTGAATTAGAAACTTGCTGAGCGTCATCGAAAACAACTAAATCACTAACTGAAAAATGAAAGCTGTTTACAACTCCCTGTGACGCCGGATAAGAGCGCAGCTCTTGAGGAGGAGGAGGGGAAGGGTACTGAGGAGAAAGTATATCCCTCCTCCCTCTTCCTCACCTCCTCATCCTGTCTGCTGCTCCTTCCTCCGAGTGGCGTCGCCGTCGTCTCACGAGGGTCACGTGACCTCAAGGGAGTCACGTGACGTCACCGGGTTCGCGTGACCTCACGGGGGTAACGTGACCCTATGAGGTCACGTGACGATGGCGATGCCGATGACGTCACCAGTGACGACGACGTCACCGATGACGTCACCAGTGACGTCACGCGTCCCATAACGCACCGCGCGGTTAAGCCGACGCCGATGCCGCTGAAGCCGGAAAAGGGAGCTTAAGAGCTGCGCTCTAGAAAAAAGACTGAGTGAGAAGCGTGCGCTAAAGCTACCAGTCGTGCAGCAGAGCGAGGCTACCTGTGCGATAAGGCGCCCTCGCGATTTTTCCGTCTCTTATCATAAAGCCCGAGCCTTGTACCTGCTACACGAGCGGTAACTTTAGAGCACCACTGAGCTTCTCACACGTTCGAGGTCTTTCCACAAATTACTGACGTCGTAGCTTTCAATGACGCTCAGCAAGTTTCCAATTGGAACCATATGTCTATGTTCACCAATGAAAAAGTCAAGTAAAACATTCTGCCCAATTAGCCGACTGATCGTTACTATTAGCCTCCTATACTATGCCCACTGTCCGTACAACTCACCTGCCCAAATTGCGTAATTGTAGTAATCGCTTTATTTTTTAACAAATCTGTTAAGATTGAAAAAAAAATAAAATGAAAGGCATAAAGAGCCTGCCCAACGTTTTGTAAACCCGAGTCTGAAAAAAAAAAAAAATTGGGCGGGTGTGTCGTGCACTTTTTGTTCCAAGTCTTAGGTGCTCAACATGTTGAATGTTCACCAGCTCCCCTGTATCTCCTTTGTTATTCCTACATATATATTTGTACCACTTACCTTTCCTCTCGCGTCTTTGAATATCGTGGCCCACCAATAATAATATATTATTTTCTTTTGAATTTCCCACCTCAGCGCAAGTGCGGCGCAAGTCTTAGCAAAAATGTCATTGTGGCGCAAAATATAGCAGACTTCCTCTCATCGCCCAATTAGGCCCAAATGGCGCAGAATTTCCTGACTGAAGATGTATTTGTATCAGATGTCTGGGCTCCATGAAACTGACAACAAAGGCTCGGCGAGTTCAGTCGCTGCCTTAGATCCCCCTTTCCACTCGAAGAAACAATGGCAGTGTGATGAACTTGAATGAGGTTCTTCCATAGGCTGCACTCCACCGGTGCCCGACTTCATCAAGCCGAAGCCCTCATCAAGACCTGGATCTGCAGGGAGAAAGCGTAAGTTCGAAAAACGGGAAATGTCAGGCGGAAATATCAGGAACGGGTCGAAAAACACACAAAAACAGCTGTATCAAAAAAGAAAAAAAAAAAAAGAAAAAAAAGGCGCACATAATTTTTTTTGGGGATGTACGACATTTCAAGCATTCATGAAAAATCATTTCACCATGCTCGTCGCTTCGAAGCCTCGTCAGCGGTCCCATGTTTTCGAAGTTTATTCTTAGTAAATTTCAAATAGTGTTTTTCGGGGTTTATTTTTTGCCAAAAAAATCGTGGTTTTTCGAAATCTATGCTTGCTATATTCCCAATTCTCCGAGATTCGGAGTTTGATAATTCTGTGCTCCCTCCTACCAAGATTCCTTTGAAATACAATCGATTTTTTTTATTTGCCCTCAAAACTATGTAATCTTTTTTCGCATAAATCCGAGGTAACCAAAATTTTTCAGCCTAGCGTTTTTTTTAAGAGTTTTTCGGATATATCTAAAAACTCGAAACCCTATACTTATAACTTGTAAATTAGATACGCAGATGAACACTCAAAAGACAAAAAATACAAAAAAGTGAAAGCCGTTTACAACTCCCTGTAACGCCGAATCGGAGCGCAGCTCTTGAGGAGGAGGAGTGAAGGGTACTGAGGGGAGGGTAGACTCCTCCTTCTCCTCCTTCTCCCCTCATTCTTTAATATGCTCCGGGGGGTCACCTGACGTCGGGGGGAGGGGGTCACGTGACCTCGGGGGGGGGGGGGGGGGGGGGGGGGCGGGGGCGTGTCACGTGACTTCGGGAGGGGGAAGGGGGGTCACGTGACCTCGGGGAGGGGGCCACGTGACCTTGGGGGTCACGTGACCTGGGGGTCACGTGATTTCGGGGGTCACGTGACCTTGGGGGGACCTTGGGAGGGGTCACGTGACCTGGCGTCGCCGTCCAAGTTGGAAACGGGCGCCTAAGAGCTGCGCTCTAAAAAAAAAAGGACCGAAACACTTTTTTTTTTTTTTTTTTAGACGACTTTCACGTATCTTGGCTTTCTTTTGTAAACGCCGAAGATTTCAGGGTTACCCGCATGATCAGTCGCAATTTTTTCGATTCGTCTTACAGAGGCCTCGACCACTGCCGCCGCAGCACCATCGGGAAAGGAGAACAGGCCCCCCAAGGTTGGTATCATGACGTCACCGAATGGAGGGCAACGCAGGGCAGGGGTATCGGACGGAAGTGCTGCCTTAGCGTTCGGCCGAAGCGGCTCCGTGTGACGTAGTTTTGTGCCCGATTTGGCACACCTTCTCTGCATCAGTCAGTTGGGTGAATGGGTGGACGATTGTGGCTGAAACCTTTTAACCGAGCGGCGGCTGTTGCGCCTCCTAGACAAAGCTTTTATTTCAACAATTAACTCACGACCACGGTGCCACAGGACCGGAGTAAAAAACAGGACGGACAAAACAAAGCTCCAGCTTTGTGTTGTCCGTCCCGGTTTTCCCCCGCTCATGGGTTACCGTGTCAGTATTTCACCAGCTGGCCTGTACACCTGCTTAAGTTTCAATTATCCAATCTCCAATCTAAAAACGTTTTCACAAAAACAGTGAGGCTACACTTTTCAACCTCATACTTCTAAATGCTGAAGTAATAGGGCGCGGTAAAGCATCCCATATCACTGCGCTACATGCCTTTACTATTCGCTCATACATGCACTGCACAGTCGCGACTGATCGAGCAAAATCCATGACTATGACGTCAGGTGACGTCATGGCCGTCGTCACGTGCTCCGCCCTTTCAGAACGCCGTGGCGGGAGCAGCGACGCCCCTGCAGCGAGGAAGTTCCCGGCTGGCTTCGAGGTCCGGCGTGAAGCCACTCCTCGCTGCGCAGGAGAAGCAGGAGGAGGAATACGGTACGGGGACCCGTTTAGTGCTTGACGCGGGAGTATTCACTATGAATATCGTCACCGTTATTGTCATCGCATCTTGGTTAATGACGGGAAGTGTCAATTTCCCTGGATGTTAAGTTACCATTATTACAAGATTTGAGGAAACCAACCTGACGAGGAATAGCGATGTGGAAGCCATGGGAGATTACTGTGTGTATTTTTAGGCAGCGTGAAGTTAGTTACCCTTAATGGTGCGATTGGTATGTCCGCTGTAGGTGACAAATTTACCGAGTTCGATAGCACTGCTAGGTCGGGATCTTTGACGCGTGCATCGGGCCTTAGTGATAGACGACCGCCTGCAGGACCGATGCTCATCCAGATTGAAACGGGCAGGGGTGGGCATATAAACCCAGAATCCACGGGTTATGCGGCGCGCATGATATATTGTTTGATGCACAAGCTTGTTTGGGGCAAGTGTCATATCGGAATTCAGAAATTCATGGGGAGAGGGGGAGGCGGACCGCCCCGAGTGCCGCTGACCCTAGTGACGCCACTGGACCTAAGGCATCAGGGCATCGGATGAACGGTTCATTTGGTAAGGGGTGACTTTTCTTCGTCCGGTGACGTGCGCAGATCCCGGAGAGGGCACCTCGAGCCAGACGCGATACCCGAAGCGGAGCCGCAAGTCCGTCAACTACGCCGAGTGCGAAGTTCCCTCCGAGGACGAGTTCTTCTGTGAGTGTCCAGAAGTCGGAAACTAGTCGGACAAGAGACCTTCTCCCTTCCCTCAGTGACACCGCATGCTAACTTCAAAAGCCTAATTAATTATAATGGGGCTACAGAAGTGGGTTGTTCACTGTTGTCCGTTGTGCAGACTGCCTGGAGTGCGGCGAAGACCGGCACGGCGACTGTCCCGTCCACGGACCCCTCGAGTTCGTCAAGGACACTCCGGTGAGGAATTTCTACGACTTTCTCGTTGTCTGGCGCGCATCGAGGAGGCATTGTGGGCTTTTGAAATGGCAGGAGAGCGGGGATGCTGCGAAGAGACGGGGGAAGCCATCTGTGTTGGGACAAGAGGGACTTCATTGCGTGATCGAGCACACAGGTAACGGTACCTGTGTACGTCGATAACCTCCCTCGAATTCGGCGTGTTATCCGGGAAAGTATACACGCGGGCTTCGATTGTTCCAGCACCAGACTGGACATCCAATGATAAGAATCTGCGAACTCTGGTGTACTACTATTAAGTCGTTATCCAGAGTGTACATTGGAGACAATACACTTCAAGAATCGAGCGTCTATATTTTAGTGATTACATTGGAGGATATCCAGAAAACCCTCGATGGAAACCATAAAAAAAGTCTAATTATCTGCTACCATAATATTCTGTCAGTGTCATTGAAGTGAACCATACTAAAAGTGGTATTCCCGCCTGCAGGTCTCCTAGTTTTAGCGTAGCTGGATGTGTAAGGAAGTATCCGATCCTCGAGCGTCCTATACATATCACGGGTTTGCAATCACAGCCCGAAATGCTTACAGATTTTGTTTTAGTACATATTTTCTGTTAGATTTACAAAATCACAACTGAAACCGAAGTTTTGTCGCCCCGTTCGAAAATAAGTAATAGTACAAACCAATACACGTTCGTTTTTGTCCTCCTCGCTGATAAAGTCCTTAAAGTACGTGAGCTCTGTTTATATATTCGTTACAACGTCATATCCGTCCCCTCTGATTAATTCAGGTTCCCCCGGGGGACCCCCAGCGCGCGAACAAGACCCTGCCCGAGGGTCTGACGCTGGCCCGGTCCTGCATTAAGGAGGCCGGGAAGGGGGTCTTCACCCTCAGGCCCCTCCCTGCCAGGCTGTGCTACGGGCCCTACGAAGGCGTGCGCTTCACCGGCTCCGGCGGGGGCAACGGATACACCTGGAAGGTGCAGTGCTCCCTGTGGGCTGCGTGAGCATGCGTGAACTCGAAGGGTCTGAACCTGAAAGGGAGGATGGAATTGTCGGGGTACACACTATGGAATACCATACACACTTATGGGTGTAACTGGTCTCAAGGATAACATCCTAAGGGTGTTACAGGAACACGTTTAGAGCGCTAGAAAACACGCTAATACTTTGTGCTCTGGCGGTGCGGCAACCTAAAAATACTTTTTTACTAGCAACAAGGTACAAGCAGCACGCATCACCTTCAGGTTTCACTCGCACAGATAGCACGAAAAGCCGACAATTCAGAGATACCCATTCCCAGATGAGCGCATCCAAAATTACGGAAGTTACAAGTATGTTTCTTTGTTCTCGTCAGTACATCAGTTATAGCATAAGAACTCGAAGTTCAAGAAATGTATCCCCAAGTAAACACTAAATCAATGATAATCTGATTTAGTTGCCAAAACAATCTCCTAGAAATGTTTGAGGCGGGTGCAAAACTGATGCGTCACCGCGTGCACGTGCCCGGATCCAGGTGCGTGGCCGGGGCGGCTACCTGGTGGACGCCCGGCCCCTGTCGGAGTCCAACTGGATGCGCTACGTCAACTGCGCCCCGAGCGAGAAGAGCCAGAACCTCGTGGCCTTCCAGCACAGGGGAGGCGTCTACTACCAGACAAGGGCCAAGATAGCGCCGGGGACCGAGCTGCTCGTCTGGTACGGGGACGAGTTTGGCGCCGAGCTAGGACTCGTCGAAGCCAAGGACGGAGCCCAGAAGAAGCGTGAGTGGGGGACATCGGATGGCAAGGATACGCTGAGTTTCGAAGTTTGTCATTGCGATAAAAATTGTCAGGAGTGCACTATTTGTTGTGGAATCACAATGCATAAAAATAAAAAAAAAGTATTTTTTTTTTTTTTTAATTGGGATTTGAAGGTACGGTACTCTCCTGAGATATAGTCCACCTAGAATAGATAAAAAATTGTATGAAAATGAGGAGTGGTCTACCTGTCGGTGTGCAGTCCATAAAAGTTGAAAACACAAATGCTATTTTTAGATAATGTGTCTATCAGACATGTTATCCCGGCGAGGGGGCAATGAAACAGAGATGACTGTACTTCCCAGTCAGAAATGTTCGCTTTTATATCCTGCCCTATCTAACCGGGCGCATTTACGCCAAGGGCATCATTGATCCGAACGCTACGATTAGTAAGCGTGGGCTATCTTTCGGTGTTTTAAAGGGGAGGGGGGGTGCAGCGATTTCCGGACTTCGGTCAAACACTTGTGGAAGTTGCCCTCTGACAATCCTAAAGTAAAGAACAGAAAACCAATTTCGACTGCGTGTCAATAGTTGTTATGTAAAAAAAAAAAAAAAATAAGAAAAAATCAGTATTTCCAATTTTGGCACCCCTCAACTCACTCCCAGTCTTCGGTCTCACCTGGTCCCCCTCCTTGTGACGTAATTCGGCGTGCAGTGTAGCTTCGCCTGTGCTCTCTCGGAGGACGCTTCCTCTCTCTCTCTCTCTGCTGACATTAGCGCGCGTTATGCTGCAGCTTAGAGCCGAGCGAGGTCATGTAATCTTTTCGCTGTAGTTCCTTCGGCTGCCACTCGTTGCTGCAGGTGGGGGGAACAGCTTGACTTTTGCTTTGTGATCATGCAGCGGAATAGCGACATTTTTTTAATGAAGGAGGTGTTTTCTGTGACCTCCGGGACATGATAAACAACGTAAAAATTACGAGATGCATATTCTTTATTTCTTAAAATCGTTGAACCCCCCCCCCCCCCTCCCCCTTTAGAAGAAAATAACAAATCCATCCGAAAATGGGGGGGCGGCCGGTCACCTTTCGGGGGAGGGGTATCTCGGGATTTTACGGTAGTGTCTCCCCTTAACTCTCTGCCCCCCTTGCCTTGCTCGTCCATGTGCAGACCAAGAAGAGGGGCCGTCCCTCGAGGGGTCAGTGCAGACCTTCGCGTGTGGGGACTGCGACAGCGTCTTCGCTTCCCTCGAGCACCTCCAGGGACACCGGAAGAAGATGCACGAGAGGAGAGAGGGCAGGCACCGATGCGGTCACTGTCCCTACTCCAGCGATAAGAAACCAGACCTAGTCAGGCACCAGCGCACCCACACGGGAGAGAGGCCCTTCAAGTGCGGCACCTGCGGCAAGGCTTTCACGCAGGAGGGCAACTTGACCAGGCACCAGAATGTGCACACGGGCGAGCGGCCTCACGAGTGCGCCGAGTGCGGGCAGAAGTTCGCCCGGCTGGGACACCTGAGGATGCACGAAAGCACGCACAGCGGAGAGCGGCCCCACGTCTGCCCAGAGTGTGCGAGAGGATTCGTTAAGAGAGGTGACCTCGCAAAGCACAGGCGAACCCACTCCGGCGAGAAGCCCTATGCCTGCCACCTGTGCTCCTACAGGACCTCTGATTTAAGCAACATGAAGAGCCACGTGATTCGGGTGCACTCAAAAGAGTATCCCCACAAGTGCGGGGACTGCGGCAAAGGGTTCCGGTCCCCAGGTGAACTCAGAAGCCACATGAGGAGGCAGCACTCCTGCGACGACCTGGAGCGGTAGATGGACTCCGTGATGGGGGAGGGGGGAGGGGCACCGGTTAATAACGACACTGGGGAAACCCGAAGACAAGGGTGACACCGGCGAGTTCTTCTTTTGCTTTTTAATAAATACATTGTACATAGAATTGGCCTTGGCTTACTGTTCCCCACGAGCGTATCGTCCAAAAGGGTGACTTTCCCGAACCGTGGGTGTAAGGGTCGACGAAGGCTGTGCTGTGGGCCATAAGCACGAGAGGGACTTGGCTGGTCTACGAAAGCGTTGACGAACAGTTCCCGCGGTGGTGGGCGACTTCGAAAGTCGGCCGTATACTTTGCGATGCGAGGCTGAAAACGCGCGTTTTTAGCTGAGAGAACCGGAACGTGCGTTTCGGGCCGGGACGACTATCGGAGAGTGCGGTGGTTGGATGGGCAACGTTAGACCACGTCTGGCGGAATGATCGTCGGCGCTGTCCACATCAGGGACGGCGGTCTGACTCGCCTCGCGAGTTCTAAGAAAGAGTTTGCTCGCGTCCGAACCCGCCTGGCGTTTGGTCATGAGATATGCAAGGATAAAAATGCTGCGTCATTTGCGCCAGATTGCTCCATAAAGGGAAGTCTGCTACATCTTGCGCCAAAATGCCATTTTTGTTAACAATTGCGCCAAACCTGCCCCGAGAAAGGCTTAAAGAAAAAATATATATGTATATATATATATATATTGGTCGACCCTAATATTCAGAGAAGTAGAAGGAAAGAAATATTGTGCAAATACGAACTTCACAGCGTCTCTACTCGCAGTATAGTTTGTTTCGTCTTAGATCAGAATAAAGCCGAAGACTCGAACACATATAACCACAGACACGCACGCTAACAGCGCAAGCCACGCGACATTGATTGGTTTAGACGATTAAAGAACACGTACAAGGACATGGCGAATGCCAGGAATTCGCCCTTGGATGCTGCGAATCAACCGGCCATAGGCGTTGATGCTGGGCATCAAGCACTCTGGCCGGTTGATGCGCTGGCGGGTTGATGGCCGACATCGACTAAAGTTCCAGACGATGTCGTCGATGTCAGGAACTAAGAGTCCCCGAAAAACCTTTTGCATACTACATGAAAGGAAACCAGGGTTTTGCACTCCTGCTAAGGTCGCTTGATTATAGCGTGGCACTTGCGGCTCTCACCAGCCTGCACGCATGGAGCTTGGCCGCTTTGCACCGGAGTGCTAGGAGCAGCGGCTGACACGGGGGAGCGCCTGGCTTAGCGCGACAGAGTTGCGCTAAGCCAGGCGCAAATATTACATTTTGTAATATTTGAGAACGGCATTCGTAGAACATGTTTTTTAACGCAATTGCGAACGCACTATGGCGCTTCTTTCTGAAGTATCGAAAATCGGAGCCCGGAGCTTTTTATCCTCCCTCGACAAACTTGGCGGGGCCGCAGCGCTTGGCACATGTAGCACTGAGGATGATTGGCGAGTCGGGGAATCGAACAAAGTTCTCTTGTTCAGGTTCCTAGCGACCTATCAAACTTCGAAAATGAAATCGTCAAACGGTCAAAACAACTGGGTTTGGTGTCTGTGTAACGCAGTTTATGTTGTGACTCCGCTGGGGCAGCCTTTCACGCAGAACCGACGCGACATGGACCCTCGCGTCGCTCACAAAAGTCCACTGCGCGTTTTCTTCGACCTCACACCGTTTCAAAGAATTTGAGATCACTGAAAGGGCCCTCAAAGAACTTCAAACTGGAAAGCGAAGCGTCGTCTGCTCACAGAGATAGGCGGTACACGGAGGCAAGCAGTCGACTGCGAGACACGGGAAACACGACACTTCGGGCCGGGACGGAGGCGCCAGAGAAACTCGAGTTGCAGGACGACTCAATCTTTGAGGTCACTGCACAGGCGCGGATTACGCGGGAACTTCAAGTTCCGCATTTGGAATAGTTTGCTTGCTTCACAAATACTTCTTTCACATGTTTCAAAAGTTTAGAGAAACGACTTTTGGTTGGCAACGCTTTCGCTGCCGATGTGACGTACTGCAAAGAAAGATTTCTTTAATATAGAAGTTTTGTATCTAAATATTTCTACGTACAAAATGAACCCGAGTTAAATTTTTATTAGAACAAATAATGTGAACTTTAAAAGGACCCTGCGGTCTGTTTACAATGTCACCTGACCAATGTAACTGCGCTCTTACCTTCGTTCGCCCTAAAGGAAGACCTGTGTTTCCTTCGCCAGGTCGTTTCCAGGCAGTTTTTGAGATGAAGAAATGCTATAAAATGAAGAGCTACGCTTGCGATGAACTACGCACTGGGGACGCGTATCTCTCCAGCAAGATCGACCTCCACAGAACGGGTTCCTTGGATCACTCTTTGCGTCGTCCGCGGGAGGTCCGGATCGGCTGACGAACTTCGCCGTGGGAAGATGGGGGGTACTTGCGTCGGAGGCCAAGTTGCTTCTCTTGACAACGCCTATACCAACTCTGTAGGCGTGGGTTACTTTTATATAAACGATGTATTACTTTCGTAACGAATAAAGGTACATAAGCGAAACAAAGCTGTAAAGATTACTCTCTAGTGGGATGGGGGAAGGAAGTGCTCGGGTGTTAGCTCGGGAGTTGGCTTGCTCGTAGGATTAAATTCCGATTACGGGGGCATTGTACCCCGGAGTCCCTTGACAGGGTTCGTTCACGGAGTGTGAGCTCTGAAGCTCCAGCACAAACTAAAACCCGTTCATTCGTTCGTGATACGATTCCCACTTGCTGCGTTCCCGTTAAATATCACTGGTTGGCCCGCCCTCTTTTGGTGGACCGGCGATTCCCCGACGGGTCATGAGACGGGCGTTTCCCAGTGGCCGAGAGGCCGCAACCAATCGCCCCACTTTCCCACCGTGGGGGAATTGCTGAAGTTTCCCGCCTGAGACCCCTCGACCTGCGCATGACAAGTGATGAAATCGGAATTGGACCTTCTGTAGCAGGTTCTGTAGCAGGGAAAATATTGGTTGGGAGAGGCCACTGACGCTTTTGGAGAAGATGCCGACATCCGTTAGCACATCACTCGGGAATGAAAAATTGATTGAATCTCTGGCTGAGTTCATTTATGATAGTGATCTAGGGTTTCTGTTTGACGCTCGAGCATATTAGTTATTAGTGTTTCTAGAAAAATAATACATAGAGCATAAAAGGAACACAGTCTTCTTAAATAAGGCTCTAGTCAGAGACGGTTTCATTTAGAGTGGGTATTCAAAAATGGTTGAAAAGTGTATCCCAGCGTAGTGGAATAAATCCTCTCTCTCCTCTTCATTTTACACTCGTACTTTGTTTAGCCTGTAACTATAATTTTTTTTTTAGAGCCAACAAGAACCAGCGTATCCGCTAACACGTCTACCAATAAAGATGCGTCCCGTAAGTTTAATGAAGCGACCAAACTCGAGCATATAATATTATAAATTACAAAAGCAGCCAACCAACAATACTATAAAGGACTACACTTGCGCTTTAAACTCGATAAAGTTTTTTTAGCGGCGTAGGAACCAGAGTTAGGTCAAAGTTCGCTGCTCTTTCGATCGACAGCTGCACGGAAACTATCGTGACCACCGTATTTATTCAAATATATATAGACTCGTGTTCCCTTCTCTCTTTATCTGTTGCTTTTAATTGGAGATTAACTTACAATGAGGACAAAGAAGTTCGCCCCGTAATCATATCCTGAGCATAATGTGCCTAGCTGCCTATCGAGCTAAGCCAGGCTCTCCCCCGTGTCAGCCGCTGCTCCTAGCACTCCGGTGCAAAGCGGTGAAGCTCCACGCGGTCACACTGCTGAGAGGCGCAAGGGCCACGGTATAATCAAGCGACCTTAGCAGGAGTACAAGACCCTGGTTCCGTTTCATGTTGAATGCAAAAGGTTTCTCGGGGACTCTTAGTTCCCGAGAAACCTACTATATATATATGTATATATATATATATATCAGTGTGTCAAACCGAAAAAAATACGGGTTCGGTTACGCTTCAGGTTCAGGTAAATTTATTTTGTTCCGGTTCAGTTCCGATTCGATTAATTTGATCCGCGAACCGGTTCGCGAACCGGTTCGGAAATTATAAATGACAAATTGCAACATCAAAATAAATTACAAATAAAACATCTGAAATCAGCACATACGAAACGGGATACATCGTAGTGTAAGGCTCAGGGATTTCTACCAGGAATGGTTTCTTTACGTGCACTCAAAGGTTACCTCACCGACGTTTACGCATTCGGACTTCATATAATTGGATCCGACGCAGTAGCTGTAAAATCCGCGAGTGCTTACAAACCCACTTACAAATAGAACTCGCTAACTATCCCGCCACCTCGGCGTGTAAGCAATTGAAGGAACAGTGGGGAGAAAATACAGCTTTCTTTATTTGAACTAGCCTTCGGTAACTCAAATTAGACCCTTAAAGAAGTTTTCATTAAACAAGATACGGAATATAAAAAAAACACTTCACCGAACGCAACGCCAGAAGGACGTAATAGGATAAATATTAAAATAGAAGAGTTCGCTGTCTCACAAATATGTTAGCTTCTAAGTGCCTATACGAAACCGGATGCATTATTATCAAACTCCACAGCCTTTTTTTTTTTTCTCATTCCGGTGGAAGCAAGCTTCAAGAACTCGCGCGTTCTAGAAACGTGTTATGAAATGAGCACACATCAGCATTTAGGATTTACGAGATTGTAGGAAAATGAAACCCCGTGACCCGATTTTTTTTTTTTTTTTTGCACAGCTTTCCAATTTTTTTTCTTCCGTGCAAGCCGCGACCAGCGCAATACTGGTTCATATGTCAAGATTCATGGATGCAGCGTTTGTCAAGATTCATGGATGCAGTGTTTATATTCCTAAGACTGAGTGGAGAAGAAAAATATGTAAGCGAGGTGTGTCAGTTGACGGCACTTAAAAAACAAATGGCATTGATAGCACATTCATTGTCAACAGCGCGTGGCCGAACCGTTTTGACATGAGCCGGTAACCGTTATTTTTTTTCCGGTTCAGTTCCGGTTCGGGTTCATCGCGATAACAATATAACGGTTCG